CCAGATGCCCAGCACAGGCCAGGCCGAGGCCCCCATGGGAGACAGCCTGCCCACCCCAGCCCAGAGCCTCCGGGGCTCCTGGGCTCTCCCGGGCAGACCGTGCAGAACTATGTCAGGAGCGGTGAGGCCGCCCCATCAGCCCTCATCTGGATGGCAAAGGCGCTTGCTTCCTGTGGGCGAGACGGGGACTGTCTTTCTGTTCACTCCCAGTGTCAAAGGCACTTCACTTCCATCATCCTAGTGTGGCTGTGGCTTCCTAATTTTATCGTATCACTGTGACTGATAGGGTGGGAGGTTTTAGGAAGACAGAAAACACCTATTCATTCCTGGTATATTCTTAAAAAGAATGATTTAGGAACTGGGTGATCTCCCTGGATTCTGTTACATGATTGATTACGAGAGGGAATGACAATTGATTGAAATGTTTGTACAGCATTCTCCTGGGATCTCGGGGAGCCAACGATGTTATCTCATGCTGTCTGGCACCCGCACATCTGCCCTGAGTCGGGTCATGGTGTCCCTAATGGGCCCCTCACCCGATGGCACTGGCACCCAGCTCCTGACAGCTCTGAGGCCGCCCACCCTCCCAGCCTGCCCAGGGTATGCTGGGGATTGCAGCCAGTTCCCGGACAGTCTGCAGCTCATTCAACCCCAGCCTTCGAGCACGGCCGCTTCGCTGACGACCCGTTAGGGAGAGCAGCCCTGCACGGCCGCTTCGGTTTTCCCAAGGTCCCTGACCAAGGGAACTGTACCATGGGGCTGGGGAGCCTCCGTGAGCAGGAAGGACAGACACCTGAGCCGGCTGTGCTCCCTGGCTGTGGGTTAACATTGGTTGTTAGTGCCCGGAGCCTTACGTGCAGTGGTGTTTATTTAATAAAGCTTTGCTAGGAGAAGGAACTTTCTGGAGAATGTGCCCCCAGCGGGTGGGCAGGGCTTACGGTTCTGGAGGTGGCATGGGCACCCTGCAAGCGCTGCAACTGGACATGCCATAGGGCGGGTCTGGATCGTGCGGGGAGGGAAATGTGCTGCAGCAGGAAGAGAGCGCTTGAGGGCGTCTGTGCCCCTGTGGGACCGAGGCTTTGCTGGGGGCGCAGTTCCCGCCTTGCTTGAGTCCTGTGGCTCCCAGGGCCAGGCTATGAACCTAGGAGCTTGGGCTCCTGTGTTTGGGTGGTCTGACTACCAGCACGTCTAGTGATCTTTCAGTACTGGCCCCAACTGCAGTCTGGCCTTTGGGACCTGCATTTCTCACTTAATCAGTAAAAGGGGCCTCTAAGGTGCAAAGGGCATCAGAGGACAGCGAGCTGGTTTGTCTGTCTGGTTTGCAGCCGCATTTGCCCGCAGGAGCCTCAGCTCTGAAGCCAGCTCTGTGGTGCCGCCAGCCCACAGCCCGGCTGGGCAACGCAGAACCACATTTCAAAGGCGGCGGAAGGCCGTGGCCCAGGGAGGCTGAGCGGCCCAGGGAGGCTGCACCACTGCTGAGCCGGGAGCCCAGGCTGTGAGCGCGCTCGGCATCACGGGGAGGCTGCTGCTGTGGACGCATCCCTCCCCGACTCCCTCTGTACCGCTGCCTGGCGGCTGAGGCCACCCTCGGGATGGGCACTGAGCTCCAGAGAGATGGTGGCAGCTCAGAAGCCCCTGCTCCTGCCCAGAGCTGCCAGGACAGTGGGGCCAGCACGTTCCAGCCTCCAGGAATCCTTCACAGAGCCGGGCTGGCTCTCATGGAAGCGCAGAGTGGCCTAAGTCCTCTGGAGGGACCTGGAGGTCGCTGCTCAGACGCCCTCATTTTCCGAGGAAGCTGAGAAGACCAGAGAGGGGGCCTGGGGCGCTCGCCCTGGGAGCAGGCAGGTCCCTGTTCCTGCTCCGCCATGCTCCCCTGCCTCCGGGCTTTGACCATCTTGCAGCGCACTCCTAGGGCCGCGGGTGTGGGGTCGAGGCCTCCGGGAGGGACCCAACCTCCCAGCCCAGGCCAACGTGCAGGAGGAAGGAGAGGGCACCACAGGGCGTTACACAGAACCCTCTGGGACTTTTACACATTCAGCCCTAAACCCGCCCAGCGTCATTCCTGGAAAGAAGCAGAAGGCAGCCCACAGAAGACAGGCTGAGGCCCCCGGGCAGCCAGCACCTTCCCCACAGAGAAGTCCGCCTGGTTGCCGCAGCTGCTGATGAGCCAACAGCACGGGCAGGGACAGACCCCGGTCCCAGGCCTCTGAGAGCGACCCGGACCATCAGCGCCCTCCCCAGACTCCGCCAGGGTCCCTCCTGCGGGAATAAGGCCCTCTGCGTCCAGGGGTGGCTCACAGCATGGCTGGTCGGATGCAAGCCGTCAGCCCTGTTTGTGGAGCATCTGAGCGCACACGAGTGTGCACAGCATGGTACCTGCTGCCATGAAGTTTATCCACAAAGTTCCCAAAGGCCGCGAGTTCCACGCTCTGGGGGGCGCATGGGGAGTGCCTCTGCTGGATTGGCTCCGAGCCCTGCCTGCCTCAGTCTCTCTGTCTGTCAACTTGTGTCTAGGTGAGGGCACATGGGGCTTCCTACACTCTCCCTGAAACTTTTCTGTTGTTCTCAAGTTTAAAAGAAAATGCTAGAAGAAACTAGGTGGGGACTTCTCTGTCCACCGTGTATGCTTTCCCACGGCCGCTCTCCCCTGTCCTCTGTGATGACAGTCTCAACTTTGTCACGGCCCAGCGTCCTCTGGGAAAGCCCCAGCCTGTGTCCTCCTGGCTGACCCTCCTCCTCTGTCTTCTCCCCCTGCGTCCACCCCGAGGAGGGCCCAGGGCTCTGGGTCCACATCAGAGCTGAGCCTCCCACAGGGGCCTCAGAATGGGCCCTGGGCCCCTCAGGAGCAGGCACAGCCCCCGGTGACCTCTGTGCAGGATCCCCTCAGGTGGCCACGGCACCCTGCTCCCCCACGCCTGCCCCCGGGTCTCCGTGGACCCTGCACAAGGGCTTCCCCAGGCAGGGGCTTGTTGCTGCGTGGCCCCCTCCTCCGAGCCTACGGGGGCCCAGCCACTGCTGTCTTCCCCTTGACTCTCTGCTGCGTGATGATACTGCCCTTCAGCTTCTCCAGCCTTGTCTCCATTTTCCTTGGTGTGTGTGGCCCCCCGCCTCTTGCCCCTGAAGCACTGGCTTCGGGCGCCCTGCCTGGAGCTGCCGTGCTCGCAGCCCTGGCTTTCCATCTGTGTGGGGCTCCCTGACTGTCCTCTCCGGCCCTGACCTGTGTCCCGAATCCCACTCAGATCCCCCTTCTCTCACTGAGGTCAGCCTCACAGGCCCACCTGGCACTTGGACGGCATCTTCTGGGCCGGGCTCTGGCCCCTGGATCAGAATCTGGGTTTGCCTCCTTCTCCTCACCCACGTCTGCTAGGCACCAGCACTGCACCTGGATGCAGCCCTCTGCGGGCCTTCTGCCCCTGCCTGGCTGAGCCCCCAGAGCGTCCCATCCCTGCGGGTGCTCCCTGCCCCTCGCCTCCATTCTCAGTCTGACCCTGGGGGGCAGCGGAAGCGTGAGAGCCTGTGACCTCGCCGGGCCTGAAGCCCAGGCTTGCACAGCCGTGTGCTGAGGGCCACTCAGCCCAGCGTCCTCTGTGGTCTGGACAGGGCTGTCCCTGTCCCTGTGACGGGCAGGGCATCCCAGGCTGGGGCCCAGGGCAGTTTGACCAGCCACAAGGCTCAGCACGGGCCTTGCGGGCTCTAGGTGTGCTGGAAGGAGATGAGATTAACAAGCAAAATATAATTGCAGATCTCAAAATTATCAAGATTTTTTTAAGACCCTTTGGTAAACTAGTGTGAGAAATTTGTCAAAGCAACTGGATAGGCGGTTGGCAGGTATTTATGCGAAATAAAGTCGTAGCCCGCACGCCATCTTCTGGCCCCTCCCCATCTGGCCACGTGCGTCCTTCTGAAATCGCCCCGAGCCCACTCCCCGCCTTCCCGCGCTGGGTCAGAGGTCCTGACGGGAGGCTGCCGTAGGGTCGGGTACGAAGAAGGTGGCCATGGGTCCCATGGCTTGGCTTTCACAGTTATGTTTTCTTTGAAAATACTTATTATAAGCAGTTTGAGGGTTAATCATGTAAAATAAATCCTTTGCCCGTCTAAACTCCGTTTTCTTACAGTAAGGCGAGGTGGTGCCCCGGAGGCTGCACACCCAGCCGACTTCGGGTGTGTGCACACGTCACTGTCCCCCGGGCTGGGCCCTGCGACAAGTGGACAGAATGCTAATGCGCGCACCGCGGTGGCCAGCAAGTCCATCCCTCGTCGGCCGGACACATTGTGTCGTGGCAGGGGTGACGAAGCAGGCAGTTCTGTGAGGACCTCTTAACATACAGATGGGCAGGGGCTAAAAAATGTTAGGCTTCCCTGAAAACCTTTCTCCTTCTAGAAGGAGTCAGAACGTGGTGGAGAGACTCTTTCCCCACGACAGTGCGGCTCCTTCACAGAGACATAAATGGGGGCATTGGAGGTCTGCACGGTTCATCAAAGCCAAGGGGCCGCTCCCCCGGGTGCAGGCCCAGCTCGACACCTGCGCCTCTCATTGCGCGTCTCTCTGTGCTTGGCACACACATGCTTCACAGATGCGCCCCAGATGCGGGTCTGTCTCCTGCCTGGGCGCAGCAGACTTTTTCAGCACCGTGCACGGCGCCCAGGTCTGGGCCCCAGCTCAGGATTAGCAGCATCCCCCCGGTTCGTCTGTCCCCTTGCTCTGAGGTAGGGAGCCTGTGCCACCCCTTCACCACCCCATCATCTCTGTCGCCCTCGTCCCTTTCCTCTGCCTTCTAGATTATCCCCAAACAGAGCGAGCCAGCCCGGCAGCCCGAGAGCCACCCCGAGGAGACCGAGGAGGAACTTCGTGAGCACCAGGCCCTCCTGGAGGAGCCCTACCTGGACCGGCGGTCAGGGCAGAAGGAGGCGCACACACTGGCCGGGGTGCAGGTGAAGCAGGAGCCCATTGAGAGTGACGACGAGGAGGCGGAGCCCCCGCGGGGCGTGGAGCCCGGCCAGCGCCAGCCCACAGAGCAGGAGCTGCTCTTCACACAGGTGACTGTGCTGGCCAGGGCCAGGCGAGGTGGGAGAGGACGGGCAGGCAGGGCAGAGGGACAGCACAGGCCCTCAGTGTCCCCCACCGCCCAAGGGGCAGCGCCCTGCGGCTGGCAGTCAGTGGACACAGAAGGGCCCCCCACTCCTGCCTGGCTGGGTCCTTGCCCACCCTGCCCTGGGTGGTGTGGGACGTGGCTGTGGTTTGAAGTCTATTTTACGTTAGCAATACCTGCAGATACTGGCCCTACTGGCCCTCTGTCCACTGTGGCTATCTGTGCACCTGTATCCCAGCCAGACGCCAGCCCCAAAGTCCCTAGAGATTACTTTCTTTCAGTTGTAAAAACTGTAGGTTCACATAAATCCAAGTGTTAGCAAGATCAGCATATCGTTAAAGGTAGGAGGAGGACGATTGATTTCTTAATTGATCAAAAAGGTAGGCAGGGCCTTTGGGGGCTCAAGGGGCAGTAGTGACCAACTTTATAGGTCCAGAAAAACAGTGACACAGTTACCTAGTCCCAGGCACTGACACACATTAACCAAACTCACAAGAGATTGATGAATAAATCTGATGAATGATTTATCAATTTATAGTGAAAAGTAAGACTTCCATGCCTGCAAAACAATGGGACAGCCAGCCAGTGAGTCTGAAGCCCCAGGGAGGCTGCTTGTTCTTGGTCAGCAGGACCCGAGAGCCAGGGGTGTCCAGGACGTGGGAACTGATCGTACCCTTCAGCAGCAGAGCTGTGTCTGGAGCGTGGCAGCTCCTGTCCTCTGGAGTCGGGTGCTGCAGGCAGCCAGTGTTTATCGTGCCTTTCTGCACCTGGCTGGCCGTCCTCGGAGACTGTCCCAGATGGGGCTTTGCTCTGGGGCGGTGGGAGGGCCTCACGGTTGTACCTGGAATTCAGCGCATTATTAGGATGCTTATAGGAAATTGGAAAGGTCTTACATAAATGTTTAGGGCTAGTGTCTTGCAGATGATAAAGTGATCACGTTATTGTGCTCTAAACCCAAGACAATGATTAGAGACGCTTATTTTCTGTATTCTTTGAGGAATAATGAGCAGAGCTCCCTGTTGGGCACTTGGTGGTCCTTGTAAGCATAAGATAGGGCAGCCGATGTTTTGGAAACCGAGCGTCAGGGAGAGGTGCTCTTAGGTGGTGTCTGGTGTCCGTGGCAGTGGGTGTGAGCCCCGCAGTTGGGGGTTCCACCAGCAGAAGCATGACAAGGCGGCTTCGGGCACCTGGCCCCGTTCTCTCCCTTTCTGCTCCTTCCCGACTCTGCTTCCTGAAGGCAGGACAATCGGGCAGCTGGGCAGAGAGGCTTTCCTTCCCCTGGCGGCCGCACGGCTGCTGGACTGCTGCTTCTCATGAGGGGCTACGGCTGGGGACCTTGTCGTCTTGCAAAAGGACAAAGCCTGTTCACGGATCGTGGAGGAGCTCTGCCTTCCCTGCCTTCACTGTTCTGGGGACGCCCTCCCTGCGGGCCTGGCCCCTGCCTCCTCAGGGACGCTCCGGGTGGGCTCGCCTCTGCCTGTCATGGGGACGTGCGCCTCGGGGTCTCCCTCCCTCATGGGTCCCGGGCCCCCATCCAGCGCTCCCCTCTCTGCCGTGGCCCTGGGTCCAACTCCTGGCTCCTGCCCACCCCCACAGCCCCTCCTGGAGTCCCCCGTGTCTCTCCACGGGCTCGCGTGCAGGGCAGAGAAGAGCTGTGCAAGCTCGTGAGGTGCCCGCCCGCCACGGTCGAGAGACGAAGTCCCTGCTCCGGGCGCTGCGCTGCCTGGTCGCCCCTGAGCTCCCTTAGTTTCTGAACTGCCCGTTCTGGGTCCCTGTGGTATTGTGCCAAAGCCAGCTCTTCCCATAGAAACACAATTTTTGTGAAAAAGAGTTTCTCATGGAAGCGTACATTTAAAGAATTCACCTCCTTTTCGCTCTGGTTATTTTGCTGAAAGGTGGCTAACGTCCTGGGGATGGTCCATCTGGCCCCTGCCTCCTCACAGAGGTGTGCCCGCCCCCTCCCTGTCCCTGACACTGGCTGGCTGGGCCTGGGTGTCTGGAACCTGAACGTTTCTCCTTTGCTTCATCTAGAGTCTTTCTGTCCTTGAGTGGGGGTGTGGGGTGGGGAGAGACCAGCGAGCAAACCGTGGCCGCGAGTGAGTCAGCGTTTCCGTTCTGCCATGTGCTCCTCACACACGTCACTGGCATGCAGATCTAGTTCTCTCTGTCCGAAGCAAGATAGCAGCAGCCTGGCCCCGGAGGGCTGCCTGTAGGCGGGGGTCTCCGTGGGCAACAGGCAGCCCGTCCCGGCCAGCTGCCCCGGCTCATATGAACGAGCTCGTGCTCCCGGATCGTGTGAACAAACGAGTTGGCAAGTGGTTTACAGGAAGAGATCTGTGTAGCCCCTCAGGCAGGGAGGTGGGAGGTTTCCTGGCAGCAGCAAACCCCATGTGCCCTCTCCCCCCAGCAAGCCCTTCTCCTGGAGCAGCAGCGGATCCACCAGCTGAGGAACTACCAGGCATCCCTGGAGGCCGCCGGCGTCGCTGTGTCCTTCGGCGGCCACCGGCCTCTGTCCCGGGCACAGTCCTCCCCGGCATCTGCCACCTTCCCCATGTCTGTGCAGGAGCCCCCCACCAAACCGAGGTTCACCACAGGTACGTGCACGGCGGGCCATGGGGTGGGGCGGCCCCGTCGACTGGCCGGCCAGTGCCTGCAGGTGAGACTGGCCCGCGGCTGCAGCAGCCACGGGGGGCCCACATGGGGCTGCACACGTCCGAGTGCCGGCCACCGGTGACCTGCCCCTCGGCTGCGCGACCAGCTGTGTCGCTCACTGAGGCTCTCTTCCCAGCCCCCTCCTTGATGCCATGGTCTTTCCCGGGCTCCAAAGTCCACCCTTCCCTTTGCTAGAGAATCCGTTTCCTCCAGACACAGCCCACCAGCGGGCCAGTGTGGCCGGCGGGCTGGGGGGCTTCCCATCCGTGCTCACCAGGGACAATGAGCTTGTCCTTCCTCGTCCACCACTCTGTGAACCAAACCTTCTGCGGGGCCTTGCCCACGCAGCCCAGGTAGCTAGCTTATGGATATCAGGCCACATGGTGGGAGGGCGGCTCAGCCCTCCCTGCCCCAGGCCTGCAGGAGCCAGGCAGGAACCCGCCAGCAGGACTCTGTCTCTGCCCCAGCCGCGCCGCCCCCACGGTCCGGGATCAGAACTGTGTAGGCAGGTCTGAGGCTCCCCGCTCTGAGTCAGACGGGCCCGGGACAGAGGGCAGCAGGACAGCTCTGCAGACCATTCTCGGCTCATACTTCTTGTCAGAGACAGAGGAGGAGAAAGTGCTCCAAATACAGAATGGTTTCGTCCTTCTTCAGACAGCCCTGTAATAGGACAAAATATAAAACATCATATTTTTCTGCGCACTGTAATGTGTAGCCTCTAAACACGGCTAAGTTCTCTCCGTTACGTCATAAAAGGATACTCTTCATATTCAGAGAAAATTGTAATTTGTAATTAGCCAGAGATTAAAGCAGTGCTTTTCAGAAAGAAAACCAGGAAGCTGCAGAAGGTCACAGATAGAGTCAGCAGGGGACCTGAGGTGGACACGTCCCTAAGAGAGACCTCCCCTCCCCTGTGGCCACAGCAGAAATGCGCCACATAAAATGTGCCCACCATGGGGGCCAAGGAGACCCCCAGGCGCCTCATCCCTGCGTGCTTCCCTGCGGGGAGACCTCAGCCTGGGGGGGGGGCCCTCTGCTGATATACTTTCTTAGCTCGTCTGCATTGTTACTTTTTTAAAATGTATAAAAACAGTATGAGTTCCCTGTTTAAAAAAAAAAAAAAAATAGAATGGAAATGCCAAGAAACTGACAGTTGCCCCTAATCCCACAACCCAGAGGTAGCCATCGTTAGTAGTCTGGTTTAAATCTTCCAGATGTGTTTCTGTGCACAGCCAGATGGACAGATGGACACAGACGTGGTTTAGTTTGCGCAGAGAGGACTCAGTTGTCCCTGTGTGCTTTTTGTGAATCCCCCACGCCCTGCCTTGGGGTCTTGGTGCACGCGGATGGGCTCCCCGTCTTCGCTGCAGCACGTCCTGCAGAGTGTGCTGGCTGGTTCTGCCGCTCCCCCGCCCTGCAGACTCGCCTCCAGTGTCCCATCCAGAGGCAGGAGTGACATGGTGTCACCTCAAAAGTTCCAGCCACATGGCCAGTAAATATCAACCGACTGCTTTGTCAAGATGATGCCGTGTTCGTTGCACTGATGGGCATCTGGGTTGTTTGTGCACGTGTGTACACATGTTCCATACACACACTCACGTGTGTGCAGAGATATGTATACGTTGCCATTATGAACTACCGAACACAGCCTCTTGTGTGTACGTGTCTTGCCCGCACACTTTAGTGAGCTGGTGGTGAGTTTCTGCAGCTGCTTGTTCTACCACATGTCCCACCATGCCCCACTCAGTTTTGCTGGTATACCCAGAATTCCTGCAGCACCAGGGGACGGACTCCTGTTAGCCCGACTCACAGAAACCAAAGGGGTGGTGCTGGGACTCATGCCCCCAGAGGCCAGGTGTCCGGCAGGGCCGCAGCTCCGCTCCCCTGTGGTTGGTGATGGCGCCTCCGCTCCCCAGCCCCTGACATGTGGAAGTAGCAGCCGTGGGTCTGATGCACATGCGCCCCCACCTCTGTTGACGAGCGTGAGCAGACGGCCCCTCACGGAGACCTGCCTGACCCTTGGGGCAGGTGTGGGGGGCTGCAAACAGTGCTACAGCAGGGACCGTGGACCACCCCGCCCAGCAGGCGTCTCGCTTCCCCCGCTGCAGGAGGGGCACGGGACAGGGGTGCATCCTGGAGGGAGCTGTAGGGGTGTGCACAGCACCCACCTGCCTTTCCCCTTCCTCCAGCCTCGCCTCCGGACGCGCAGCATCCATCCTCCTTCTGGCATCTTCCTGGCCATGACCTCAGTCACTCTGGTCCGGGGGTGTCCCTGCTCCCTGTGCAGCAGAGCCCGGGTGCGGCGTCCCTCCCCAAGGGTGACCCTGTTGCCACGGCTCCCCGAGGGGCGCCAGCAGGCATCGCAGCTCTGCCCTGTCCCCAGGAACTCTGCAGACGGGTACTTAGCACAAGTTCCTGGACTCGGTGATGTCCATTCTGTGCTGATTTGAATACCCTGGTGTTTACCTGTCTGTATGTGTGCTCACGTTGTCCCAGCCGCTCTGGAAGGTTCTAAGGGTAGGAACCAAGTCTTGCCTTTCTTCTGAGCCCCAGAACCTCAGACAGGACTCAGTCCAGCACACGGCTTTGTAGAGAGGCTGCTCCCTGACAAGAGGGACTGAGACTTGGGACTAAAAGCTCTGAGCTTTGGAGGACAGCATAGTCCTGCCACATGAGTGTGCCCATGGCTAAAGGAGTGGGGAGTGGCGTGGGGCATCTCTCCGTTTCTTTCTTCTTGACTTGCCCCCCCCCACCCCCAGGGACCTCTGGGCACGTGCTGTGAGCAGGACACTTGCCTCTGCTTCCGTTTCTGGGAACTCCAGTTGGCCTCTGGTGAACTTGGATTTTTCCGACAAGTGGCCCTAGTGGATAGAACGCTGTTAGCCTTTGTCAGTCCTAGGGATGTGGCGGCTTGCTTGCTGGGGAGGTGGTGGGCGGCAGCCAAGGACCCCCGCCGGCTGCTCTGACGGGCTGGGCCGCACGCTCTGCTCCAGGCCTTGTGTATGACACGCTGATGCTGAAGCACCAGTGCACCTGTGGGAACACCAACAGCCACCCCGAGCACGCCGGGAGGATCCAGAGCATCTGGTCTCGGCTGCAGGAGACCGGCCTCCGAGGCAAATGTGAGGTAAGGTTGGCCCACATGGGCCTGCGTCAGGCTCCAGGCTCAAGCATGCCGCCTTTCCACTGCGGCACCAGGCACCTGCGGGTGGGCCCCAGGGAGCCCAGGGCTGTTTCCCTGCACACCCAGGTCCTCCCTTCCTGGAGGCCAGCCTCTGTCCTGCCTCCTGTCTTCCTGCCGGCGGCTGGCCTCCCACATGACCCCCACGCGTGGACAGGGATGGGACAGGGGCTGACTCGTGCTGCCCCGTGCAGTGATTGGGAAAGCTAGAGCCCTACAGCTGATGAACACCATCCACACCCACCTGTCACAGCCCCGGGCCCACCTGGACCAAGGCTCAAGCAGGCGCACAGGAGAGTGGGGGCAGCAGAGCCCCCTGTGCCTCCACCCACTCCTCTTGCAGAAGCCAGGATATTTGGGAATTTAAGTCATTGTGGTTCCTGTGACCCCCATCCTTACCGGCTTTAGGGTGATGCATGATTTTCAAAGGGGGAAGGGGCCCAAAAGCTGGGTCCAGCATCCTGCCCTGGGGTGCCCTCTGGGGAGGATGTGACCCCGCCCAGCTGGTGAGGAGTGGACGGTGGCACCTGCTCTGGGGTCTGGCCCAAGGCTGCACCACTGGGGGGCAGCATTGCCCTGGCGGACACCCCTAGGAGGAAATCTTCCGGGCCCAGGTGCCCTTCCGTGCCTCCCACCACCCCGTGGGACCAACCCAGGGCCCTGCCCTGCCTCCAAGGCCTGTGCCCCATGACCTGCTCTTTACCCTCTGGCCTCTCCCAGGAGGGTACCCTCAGCCCAGGGGCCTCTCAGGGAGCTTCTTCGCCAGAAGATCAGACACGAACAGGATTGAGATGGTGAAACAGCACACCTGGGGGGAATGAGACCCTTGGACCCCTCTGCCCTCCTGTGGCCCTGAGGCAGGAAGCACCGCCTGCTCCCTGGCCAGGGGTTGCGGGGGCTCCTAGGACCTGCAGACCGAGATACCAAGGAGGAAGGCGGTCAGCAGGATGGTTGGGAAGAGGCCTGGGTAAAGCATGCAGCTTCCATGTGGTGACATGAGGGACGCAGAGCCAGGTGCCCTCTATGGGCGGGGACGCTGACGACAGGGTGCACCTCCTGCTTCACTCAGCCCAAGGGAATGTGGTGGCCCTGCCTCCACCAGGATCCCACGTGGGCCCCCAAGGTGGCAGAGGGCCCGGGTGCTGGACATGGTGGTAGGAATTGGCCCTGACCACAGAGAGGTTAGCGGGACCGGCCAGGTGGAGGCCCGGGCCTCCTGGTCCGTGCCCCTTGACCTGGCAGACGGGTGTGGGAGCTCTGCAGGCCGGGCTCCCCTCCCCGTGCTGCTGCGTCAGGCCCAGCTGGGCAGCGGAGGGTGTGAAGCTCACGGCCCTGTCCACTCTGGGAGGCTGGGCTGGCGGACACCTGGCCACACTGCCCCGCCTCTGCTCCCTCTGCTCTCGTTGCCCTCCTGTGTCCGTGGGCATCCCTTGGGAAGCTGTCACCTGTGAGCAGTTACGGATCCTACACAAGGTGGCAGGGAGTGAGAGCAGGCCCTGGACCACAACCACCACCAGGGCCTCCTCCACAGTCGTGGAGATGGTCGTGGAGACTCCCGTGTGACCGTGGCCTTCAGAAAGTCACGTCAGTGTGAAATGTTAGCTTGAACCTCGCTCCATTAACCGCCCTCCTTTTAAAAGTTTAAATAAGCATAGCCCAACTAAAGAATAGTAGATTTTATGTTAATTTCTGGGGAAATGTGAAAATAACTGTGTAGCCTCGATGTGAAGAATATCCAAAGCAAAGGAAAATGTGGACAGACATGCAGATGATGAGGTAAATTCGCTGACTTCAGGCCCAGTGCGGATCGCGGTGAGGGGCTTATTCCCGGGCCTCAGGGGTGTGCAGGGCCTGGGTGTGAGCCCGCGGGCCTGGGTGTGAGCCCGCAGGCCTGGAGAGAGCAGCCCCCTCCCCCCCCCGAAGAGTAGACCCCAGCAGCTGGAAAGCAAAGTAGCAATTTGATGCCAGATCATTTGGGTGACAGGGAAGGTTAAAGCCTTGAAGGCTGGAATTATCTGTCTAAATCTGTTTTTCAAAGTTAAAGTGTAAGCCCTCCAAAACATTTTTTAAATATTTTTTAAATGTGTTGGGTGCGGTTTACTTTTTATTTTGCAGGAACCAAATGATTTTGTGCCCATGTATGTATAAAATTCAGTGTCTTTTGGGGTGACGGTTTTTGTAGGAACGGTTTTCTCTTGAAAGTAGACCCCAAAGGCACAGGGAGACGTGAGCCCCTCTTCCTCTGTCCCTGCAGTGCATCCGCGGACGGAAGGCCACGCTGGAGGAACTGCAGACCGTGCATTCGGAGGCGCACGCCCTGCTCTATGGCACAAACCCCCTCAACAGGCAGAAACTGGACAGTAAGAAACTTCTAGGTATTTCAAGGCCTTCTTTACCTTTACCGCCTGAGGCGGTGTTTCCAGCCCTGCACTCGCTAGTCCTGCCCTTGGCCCCAGCGGCGGCGGCGTGGCAGGGACGGCCCTGTGCGTGGCGCCTGCACCAGGTACTGAGCTGAGGGCTGGAGGAGGGTCTCACCGGCCAGCTTTCACCCGGCCGGCAGGTTTCATGCCTGGGTCAGTGGTATGCTACAGAAACAGGGTGAGACCTGCTGGTTTTGCGGAACATCCTGTAACAGCGTCGATACCAGAGGCTGGAGGGGGCGGGTACCTAAGCTCTGGGCCTGCCGTGAGCCTGGAGTCGGGGGAAGGAGAGGGGCAGCCTGGAGAGGGCTCTCTGCAGGGTCTGGGCCTCTGTGCTGGCGGCCGGAACTTGCCGACGGGCATCTGCTGCCTGGGGAGGCAGGAGTCTCAGCAGCGCGGACCTGCAGCAGAGGCCGGTCGGGAGCCTCCGGCCCCTTGGGCTCCTGGGCGCAGACCCCATCCCAGTCACGGCCCTTCCTGGGCACTTCTCACCCCAGCCTCCCAGCCACCATGAACCTGCAGGGACGCGGAGGGCTGGTTCCTCTCCGGTGTCTGCAGAGGCTCTGCTCACACTGTGCTGGGGGGATCCCGCTGCAGTGCGGCCCCGTTCACCCACATGTGCGCACGTGCGTGCATGTGCACTCGCTCCTTCCATCACTCCCTCGCCTCCTTAGGGAGCGCATCTTTTGTGTTGGAAATCCCATCAGCACGGAGCTGCCTGACACGGTTGCAGTGGCCCTTGTCTGTGGACAGGGTGGAGCTGGTGGCCAGGAGGAAATCTGCAGGTTCTGTCCTGGGGTGGCCAGTCATGCTGCTTCCCGAGCCCCACTGCCCTTAGCAACAAGACTTTCCCAAAAGACATGATTACTTGCTCTGGGAGATGGGAGAGGCCCCAGCGGCAGGAGAGCCTGGAGGCTGGAGAGAGAGCAGGTGGACAGCAGGTGCCACAAAGTGTCCTCCGGCGCTCCGGACAGAAGCTCCCAATGGCACCACAGACTCCGGTGGCTTGGGTTGGCCACTGCAGAGACCCTGGGCCTGGGGTGGAGGGTAGGGAATGGTCAGACGGGCTGGGCCCAGAGGTCCTGAGAGGCCCACCCTACCACGCTCTCCCAACCCCATGACCCTGAACCGAAAGGGCACAGGGCTCCCTGGCAGGGGCAAATGTCAGGAGCAGAACAGGGCGAGGCACCTGCCCACCTCCTGCCTCCCCTCATGTGGACCCTGCCCTCAGGCAGACATTACAGACCCCTCTTCTGAGAATGACCAGCCCAGAGGAAGCCGACATGAGGATGCCGGACAGAGAGCCCCCAGTTCACGAGCCCACCGTGTGCCTGAAACTCCCAGTGGCTTTTAGGCCTCCGTCCGAGGAACAGATGGCCGAGGATTATCCGCACTCGGGGAAGTGCATCGCAGGGAGATGAGTCTGAAACAGGGCAGCTCCGAGGACAGACTTCTGAGAGAGATGGTGGATGCTAGAGAAAACCAGAACTGTTCTTACTATTCTTAAAGAGAAGACCTACCACGGCCATGTCACGTGGACAAGAGCAGCGAGAGGAAGGAAGAGACCAGGACACTAGAGGAAGTCCCATCAAACGCTGTCTCGGGAGTCGAGAGCCCCAGGCTGGGAGGTAGGTGCGCTCAGTCCCCTGGGAAGCAGAACGACATGGGCAGGAGCCAGGAAGCGGGAAGAAGACGAAGAGAATCAAAGGAGCGTTCCCGGTGCGCACGGGCTCCCAGGGAGAGCGAGAGGAAGGGGAGAGAACATCTTGGAGCAATCACAAGCCGGCCCCAGAACCATGGGGCGAGCCGCGCTGCCCAGGCCCTCCGAGGAGCCAAAGGGACAGATGTGGAACAGCGGGTACTAGGTGAGGTGCGCCACATTGCAGGGCAAATGCCCCACGACACCAGTGCCAGGCGGAGGCTCGTCGCGGTCTGCAGCTTTGACCCGGCCGGGAAGGGCGATGAGCAGGACTTCCTCCAGGGTCCAGAGGACACCCTTCTCCAGCGCAGAGGGAGGCTGAGAGGGTGGACGTGGGGCCGCCGGCAGGAGAGGGAGTCGCTGAGAGAGGGGGCTGCGTGCAGAAGGCCAGCACAGCATGATCGGCAAGGCGGCCCGGTCCCCAGGGTCCTGCGGGATTCTCCGGGAAACGCCGCTCCTGCCGGGGTGGCACCTTGGCCCGTGGGCCCCATGATGTCATCAGTGCTGCCAAGGCACAGAGCCAGTAACCCCCGGCCGTGAGTGGTCGCCAGGAGCTGGCCGGACGGACTCACATCAGAGAGCAGGGTCTGCTGTCACAGAGGCACCTGGTGTGGGCCCTGTCCCGAGCACACGGTGCGGCGTCCGTGGCCCACCCCCACTCTAAGTGGCGGGCTCTTTCCAGTTCAGCCGCTCCTGCCTTGTCGGCTGTCGGAGGCCATGTGTCGGTCGAGCCTCCACCAAGAGGCCTCTTGCACCTGCATCCTCTGAACTTGAGAAGTTGGCCGGGGAGAGGGTAATCTGTTTCCATGTCGCGGGTGGAGACGGGCTCGAGCGAGCAGCAGCAGAATGGACTAGGTCCCTGAGCTAGTTTCAAGCTCGGCTGAAGACAAAGGATGACAAACGAGAGACAAGGCGCCTGTGGGGCCTTCAGGGAAGAGTGAGGCAGGTACCGCCGGCAGGGCCCAGAGCTTTCGTAGCAGCTGACCCTTTGTCGGCACCTCCTGAGCCCAGGTGGGTGATGGGGTTGCCTCTCCTCAGTCAGGCCAACATCACTGGGCCCCTGAGCCCCGGCTCCTGTTTCTGGCCTCTTTGCTGAAACGTCTTCCCATTATCTTCACGTCCCTGTTTCTGCCCCACCCCGGATGCAGCCCTTTGAGTGTATTTTGTGTTCATTTCGTTGTTGTGAAGAACATGTTGTGTTTGTATAGTTTACAGCAAAGATACCCTAGATCATTCCATTTTCTCTTTCTTTTCTGCCAAACGCTGTGTTTAAGACCCTATTCTCATGGCTACAAGGACACCTAACCGGTTACTTTCTCTGCCCTCTGAGACCGGTGTCTAAGAGTCTGATGACTGTCCTAACCTGGAGGCCTGTCGTCCGTCTGACTGGTCCACACGTAGTAAAGTTGGCAGTGACCGCAGGTGCTGCTAACAACCCTAACTGGGCCTTTGAACGCCACTGTGTGAGTTGCCCTCCGCTTTTTATGGGATCCACAAACTTCTAAGCTGTTCGCGAGAAGACCTGCGTGGTCACTGAGGTGCCGCTCAGCATGGCGCAGCCGGGCTCACGGGGGCTGCACGGCCCAGCCTTCGAGGTTCCCGGAGGTCCGGGTGTGTCGCCCGCTGGCAGTCCCCTTGAAAGGGAGCCTGGTCAGATGGCCAAGCGGTGCCTGGCGGTGGCTGGGAAGGGTTGAGAGAAGAGCCCTGTACTCCACGCACAGCACGAGGAGCCTCAGTAGGGACACAGGAATGCCGGTGTCCTCCCCACACCGGCCGGCCTCCCAGCGCACCTGTCAGCCACTGCCATGATGGGAAAAGCACGGTGGCCCTTAGCGCATCCGCCACCACGTCTGCCTGGACAGTTGTGGCCTCGCCTAGGTGACGGTGGCCCCAAACCACAGGAGGCCGGAGGGGCCAGAGGCAAGCAGGCGGCTGGGGATGCCGAGCGTGGCCACGGGCCTCAGAAGCTGTTTCCAGAACGGCTTCCCTGTGCAGAGCCCCATGCTTACCGCCCACCCAGGAGTGCGTGAGATTCTACCTTTTCTCACTATTTTGGTCTTTGGATAATGAGCCAAGTCAAAATATCTAGATGATTTATGTTCTTAACGTAGACCGTATTGGCTCTCGTTTCAAAAATAGAAATCCGATGTCTTTGCAGAAGCTCTTTTCCCTTGGACTTGGGCACACAGATGTGTCTGAACTCCTACGCACAGACCTGTGAGTTATCTGGGAGAAAGCGCCGTGTTCCTGTGTTGGGAAAGTCTGTGACTCGAGAAGAACCGGTCATGAGGCCATCCCCAGCCCCAGGAGCCATGCAGGGCCATGTACGTTTGGAAGGCTGGGCCTGTCAGGGCCAATCACCGGGCTTCAGCTGATGCCCTAGGCCGTTAGACGGGCCTCTTACAGGACATGGGGCAAAGCAGGACCACAAGAGGCTTGGCGTCCGTGCCCCCTCCCACCCCGGGCCTGTTCCCGCAGCCCATCTTCCCTCTCCTGTTGGCTCCCTGCAGACTGGTTGCCCAGTCACGGTACAGACTGGGCAAGCCCCTCAGGGGCCACCCTCCTCGGCACATTCTGCCTCCTGCCCGGCTAGCCCCCCACCCACTCACAGGTCTCCGTCTCACCGGCTGTGGGCTAGCAGTGAGCACAAGGGAAGGAAGGCAGACCTGCCACCAGCTTCACAGGCGCTCCACCGAGAAGGCGTTTGACTAGAGCATGTGGCAGCAGGAGCCACGGATCAAGACAGTGGCTGTCAGCGGGACATGGCGTGGAGGACGGCTGGGGGTGGGTGGCACAGGGAGAAGCAGGACTAAGGCAGACCCGGCACCCAGGCCTTTCCGAGGCAGCGGGGAGGGGGGTCTGGCGAGTGTGGTAGGAGGGTGCAGGCCGGGGCCTGGTGCGTGACGTGGCCCCTGGTGGCTCGGGGCCTGGTGTGGTCCTCACCAGGAGTTGGGATGAGGCGGGCACAGACCAGGTCCAGTGACCCCAGACCTGTTTCCTTCCTGGGCCCCAGTAGTGTGATTCCTGAGCAGGTGCTGGTGTTCTGCGTCAGGGAGGAGGTGTTGGGAGTGGGCCTCCGCGCAGTGGGCACAGCCCTGCGGGGTCCAGAAAGCAGAGTCCACAGCTGGCCTAAGGAACCTGCCAAGAGAGTCCGGGGGCCGCAGGGGCAAGGCATAGGGGAGCAGGGAGTAGGGCAGAGAGGCTCTCCTGGGTGAGCCCTGGGGGGACGGCAGCCCCATGAACCAGGTGTCACACGTGGCAGGGGGCGGGGGACTCTCCCTTGTGACAGGTGAGCTGTAGGCTGGTTGCCAGCCAGCACTGGATCACACCGAGGAAGACGACACTTCATGCTTTTGTCACTGGGGCACAGGGCTGAGCCCTTTGGGACGGGGGACTTGCCTCTGCGTCTCGGGTTGGGGAAGGCCTTCTGGATGGCCAGCTCCAGCACTGTGGTTTCTTAGCTGTGTGCCATCAGGTGGACTCGGAACGTTCCCAAATGGGGAGGGGGCTGTCGCTCTTCCCATCCCCGGGAGAGCCCTCCGTGTCTAATGGGCACCGGGCGGTGTTAGGGCCGGTGGGGGCGCTCACTGAGGAGCCAGGTTCGTCAGCGGTGAGATGTGCTCGGGACGCAGCCTTTCGGGTTGTTCTGTGGGACGAATGTGAGCTCAGGCTGGAAGGAGAGGCCCAGTTCTGGGGCCCATGCCTCAGAGCAGTGGCTGTGGCCATGGAGAATTCCGGGTCTCTCCACAGGGGCTGTTCCCACACGGCCCAAGCTGCTCTGCCCCCGGGTGCTGCCCCCACAGCAGGCCACACGGCGGTGCCTTGTTACCTCTGGAACCAGTTTGCCCCTCGGTACCTGAATACATGGTCTGCGTGCACCAGAGCGCCACATGGGCACCCGTTTCCAGAGCCCACGCTGTGTTCCGTGTAGGCGGGCACCTGTGACCTTTTCCTCCTGACCTTGGCTGTCCTTCTCCCTGCAGGCTCGCTAACATCGGTGTTTGTCAGGCTGCCCTGTGGTGGTGTCGGGGTAAGTATTTCTGTAAATAATGTCCCGTTTGTTCTCGGGGTCCCAGTGGTCACAGAAATCGCTGCCCTGTTTTCCGCCGCGTGGATAATTGCTGCCAGGTGTTTTCCATAAACAGGGTCCAGCGGGTGGGGCTGCGCCACGCTCGCACGTGTGGCTTCAAAGGCCTGGGAGCCTGGGAGCATTCGGGAGGCCGGACTGGGGCACCCTCCTCCGGCAAGGTCGTCTGGCACCCATGCTTGCTTCGGGAAACAGGATCTGGTGTGCAGGTCGGGGTCCGCCCCTCAGCTGTGAAGGAAGAGCCTGCTCATCCCTCAGGCCGGGAACCCGTCGTGCGGGTAGAGCAAGGGTGTGTGGTCGCCCAGCTGAAGCTCAGAACGTGCGAGCCTGGTGTTTGTGGGCCACGGGAAGTGTGCAGAGCTGCTAGCCGAGCTATGCTTGCTGCTCCTACGAGCGACGATGCCCTTAAGCAGACCCGCTCGGGTGGACCCTCAGGAGAGCCGGTGTCGTTCACACGGCTTTCCCTGACCTTGCTGTGGGCGCTGAACTACGAAGGGCGCTCCGGTCTGGACATCCACCCCGCGCTCGGCACAGCGAAGGTCAGGTGTCCCCAGCCAGAGCTCCTTGTTAACGGAGAAGGGCTCCCTGGGCTCCTGCCGCCTTGGATGAGAGAGGGGTGCGGGGTGAGAGCAGGCCCCGGGGGCTGAGGGCAAGCCCAAGCCTCCCCCGGGGGACCTGCTGGCCACCGAGGTTCTGGGGCGCAGGCGAGAGCGCGGCCAGCCAGACGGCGCGGGCAACAAAGCCGCCTGGGCTGGAGCTGCAGCGGCAGAGTGTGCACTGATTACAGATCGCAGGGCGAAGCTCAAGGTCTGGATTCTGTTATGGAAATGAAACAAAATTGTTTTCTTCCTGAGTCTTTACAAAACTCGCTGCTTTGAAAATTATCCCGTCAGAAAGAGAATAAACGGCATTTACTCATACCACCACCAAGCCCCCTAGAGTTATTTTATTTTGTATTGTAAGTAGGCTGCAATCTCTTAATTCGGGGCAAATTTTTGGCCAGACTTGAAAAGGCTTGGATTCGGCTGCCCTGCAGCCAGTGTGCTGTGCAAGGCAGGATTTATAATTTGCAAATGAAAGCTAAAGTCAGGCCTGGGGCCTGGAGCCAGGCAGCCCCCCACCCCATCCCGAGTGTGCGTCCAGAGCCGAGCCCCTGCAGGCTGACCAGCACCCACCTTCACATCCAGACACAGAAATGCTCCAGAACAGGGAGACGGTGGGAAATCCCACCAAGTCCAGCTGGGTAGAGAGGGAGCCCGTGGACTAATTAGTGGACCGAGTGAGCCATAGGGTGTTTCGGGGATGGTTCTCTCTCGGTTTTTTTCCATCATTACCTCTACAGGGAGGGCAGAGAAGACCAGTGCCCCTGTAGGTGCACCGGGTCTCTGGGGCGGGGGCCGCCCCTGGGGGTATCGGGAAAGCAGAGTGTGGGTGGGAGCATGGGCACTCTGGATAGTGACACAGGGAGGGAGAGCCTGCTCTGCTTTCCCTGAAAGTTACTTGGAATTAACATTTGGGGTGTGTGATGGTGTTTGAAAGTCACTTGCAAACTAATTTTTTCCTTAACTGTGCTAAGAAGAGGCTTTGAATCACTGTAACTTTTTTTCAAAGCAAATAAAAGAAACTTCTGCTATGGTCCCCAGTTTCCCCTTAAGGGGACTTGGTGTGGGTGAATTCCCCTCCCTGCCAGGGGTGTGGCCCCCTCTCTGGCCCTGGCTGCCCTGGGCTGTGCCCTCAGCTCCGTGGCTCCCCAGGGGCCATGGTGTGCCCGGAATTGGCCACCCCTGGTGCCTCCCTTCTAAATCTCCGCAGGAGCGGCCTCCATGTTTTCCTCTGCTCGTTCCTGGCTTTGCCGTGGGAAAGCGGGGGGCAGGCCTTTGCTCTTTGCTTTGGTTGCTGCGCCTACATCAGCAGTCATACTGCCGCTCTGCTCCTCCCCAGAGCCTCGTGCCCCTGGAGCTCAGGGCTGTCCCCCGGCCATCCTGGGCCATTCAGTGGGGAGCTGGTGGCCAGCAGCTGGAGGACCCGGGCCCTTGAGCCGCGGGACGTCTTGTCGGGGTCTCTGAGGACGGTGACAGCCTGGGGCCCCGGTCCCTCACTCTGGGCAGGACGTCATGGGACCTTTTCTACTCTGGGGTCATGGACAGAGAGCCATCAAAGCATGTGGAGGGCTGTCCAGCCTCCATCCCAGCTCTGGTTCCCTGGGCGGAAGACCCAAATCCTCACGTTCTGGGGAGAAAGCATCCAAGTGGTTTTGTGTAAACCACCTTCCGTCCTCAGGGGAGCGGCAGCTGATGGGACCCCCCTGCCACTGTTGCCCGAGGACTGTCACCTTGGATTTTAATGAGCGGGGTCTGCAGCTGAAGTAGCTGGCCCAGGACAGTTCTGTTTGAATGGTTACTTCTGTGACTAGCAGTCCAGTATTATTTACAACAGAATTCGGGCTTTGAAAGTTGAATATTAATGCTGCGGAGAGTCAGCAAAGTGCAGAGCGTTCTTGGGACATTTGGAAACTATTTAAAGAACACAGAGGTTTGGTCATTGAAAGGAATAGCCCTCACAGAATAACACTCCTCCGGAAATGGCTTGAACCCCTCATAAATGTATTTTCAATCATCTTGCTTTGAAGATGAAGCTTCAAGGGTTCGCTGCAGGAAATCCATCCGCCCCGCATAATAATCGGTGTCTCTGTCAGGTGGGCAGGGGCCCTTGGGCACCTGGACGGACCTGGGTAGGCACACATTTGGCTGCCTGGCCGCTCTCTCTGGAGTCCCGGAGCGTTCGGCGCTTGGGGGAGGTTAATTTGGGAAGGACGGGCTCTCACATCAACTTGGCAGACACTGTGTTCCAGGGTACCGGCCTGTGAATGCACGGCTCCTCAGAACCTTCACTGGGCTGGGTGCATCCCCACACAGGGCACGTGAGCGTGGCCGAGGCTCCTGCTGCCCACAGCTGGAGATGGGGCCCAGGTGCCCTTGACCTGGCACCCAGGGGCTACGTGCTTCGTCAGGCCTCCAGTTCTGCCCCGGCTGACTTGCAGAATGGGCTACTGGAATGTCTCGGTCACCTCTAATGCCCATGGTAGCTAGAGCTCTAAAAACATCTGATGAGCCCAAGTAAAGAAAGTAACCAATACACAAACAGAAATTACCTGTGCCGCACACATTCCTCTGAGGTGGAGCAGCCCCCCGGGCTGACACCCTGTCACCTAGGCAGAGCGGTGCCGGGCCCCCCAGGAGGGCCCCAGAGGGCCGGCTCCTCCCTCCTTCCCCCTGTTCCCACTCTGGTCGCTCGCACTCTCGTCCCACGTCTGGAGTAGCTCATTAAAGTCAGCACGACGTCAAGTCGTCCTGCGGGGAGATCCAATCCCCACCCTTCTTACATGTCTCTCTGCTGATTGTGTCCCCCCTCTGCTTGCGGTGCGACCAGACAGGGGGCTTGGTGACCGTGACGCCATTGCTCTGTGCCTGGCATACATGGGGCACTTGAGAGCAGTGAGCCCTCGGGAAGAGGTAGAGTCACGCGTGTCTCTTTCCTGCTGCATTTATGGTTCTTTCCCTATTTAGTAATTTTTGGCATATCTTCAAAAAAAAAAGTAAGCTCAAACACGAGCTGGGGGTGTTGCATAATCAGTGAGGAAGAGGCGAGCGGCTCCGTGCTGGGACCTCAGGCAGAGCCCACAGGCTTCGTGAGCCCCCAGCTGCATGGCCCCCACAGGAGTGGGGGGCAGGGGTGATGGCCGAGACGTCACCTCACGGCAGGACCCTTGTCTCTGCAGGTGGACAGCGACACCATATGGAATGAGGTGCACTCATCGGGTGCAGCCCGCCTGGCCGTGGGCTGCGTGATCGAGCTGGTCTTCAAGGTGGCCACAGGGGAGCTGAAGGTCGGTGAGGACGCTGCAGAAATGGGCCTGGAAAGGGACCTGCCAGGGGCTTTCTGGGCAGGAGGGATGGGGGGAAGCCCCCTGTGGGTCCCTCTGGACGGGGGGACGGTGACGGGGAGGACGGCTCCTGTCCGGGGGCAAAGACGGGCCCTGCTGATCCACGGGAGCACCTTCCACAGTTGTAAAGCACAGGATAGCTCAGCGGCTCTCGGAGATTTGGTCTTGGGAACGCCTTACGCTCTTGCCCACTGTTGGGAGAACCCCCGGAGCTTTTGTGTACGTCATCACCACTGGGACTGTACTAGAGGTTAAAACTGAGAATTTGAAACTAACAGTAATGCCAGTGTCCTTGCACAAGCTGCAGTCCCAGACCCGCTTCTGCCTCCATCTCTGACGACTCTTGGGTAGAGGCGCTTAGCGGAACCTGGCCTGACACAGAGGTGGAGCTGGGGAGAGGGAGGGTGTCCGCACAGCTCTCCCAGATAACCACGAAGATTCTTCTCTGATGCTCCACCACCAGTCCACACGTGGCAGTTCCTCGAAGGGTAGTGGCAGGGTGGACCCCGAATCAGTGACAGTGAAGCCCACTGGGTGTAGCAGGCTGACAGGAGCTGTTATGCACACTGGACTTCTGCAGCACAGCATCCTCCCCCTTTGGAAACACGGGCTCCTGAATTACAGAGATCTTCCAAGGAGCCCGACCCATCCTGTTACACGGTGTCAGGAATCACTGATTTTTGAAACTGTTAATATCAGTGCACATCTCGTCAGGAGGGTCCTCTGAGGGTCGGGAGGAGCTCAGGATGCACGTCTTCACAGCAAAGCTCAAGTCTGGTTCCCGACGACACCCGTGGGCTTGCCCCACACGCACTTGCCCGTCCTTCCCCTTTGTTCACCTGAGGTGTTAGGGGTGTTAGGAGGTGTGTGTTCACGGGTGGGGACCTACGGAAATTCATCGTGGTTATGGCCGCATGAGAGGTTCTCCCCTGGAACTGTGTTCCCCTGCAGACGTGTGCTGGGAAACACGCCAAGTGCCAGTGTTGCGGGCACTGCCAGATCCCTCCCCGGCACCGGCAGGCCACCACGCTGCCCTAGCCCCATGGTGCGGCTGTTGACACAGCGAGAAAGGCAGACCAAGTCAGGATTGTTAGAACAGGCCCCTGGAGGGGCACGGAGACCCCCAGGGGTCTTCGGCCTGCACTCCCAGAACCGCTGTGCGGGGCCCATGCGCAGGGATGGGCTGGGGTTCTACAGCACTGGGAATGCAGAAGGTGGGGCCCCCACGTGCATGTGTCCCTCACCCTGCCCCTCCCAGAGCTGGCCCTGCAGCAGGCTGAGCACCACTGCCCCAGCCTCGACGGTCAGCCAGCCCCGGAGGCTCTGTTCCCAGCCGTGACCACACAGCTTCCTGCTGGCGGGACAAGAGATGCCCATTGAAGTCGTTCTCGTGGCAGGGGCTAGAGCAGTTTACAGACGGCTCCTGAAAACATAAGTGGCTCAGAGATCCTGGGGAGGGGCAGCTTCTCCAGCCTCTGAGCTACTTCCAACAAGTCAGTGGGTCGCTTGTTTTCTGCAGCTCACATTAAGGCCAGACTCAGGCAGGAGCCCCTAGGTTGAACCCCTTGTGCTTTATCTGCACCCAGGGTTCCCGTCTAGTGGCTTCCTGGGGATACTGATCATGAGCAGAGGGGGACCCGGGGTTCCCCATCCACTCCTACCCAGATCCCTGAGCTAAGCAGCTCCAAGCCTTTTTGCCTGTGAGCCATCAAAGATAAAACGTCAGGGTGGAATTCACCTTTTATCTTAGTAACCATGACAACCAGAGGATCTCTTTAACAGCAGGGACCCAGACGTCTTTGAAGTGCTTACAGCCGCCCTTTGTCCCGTCCCTGTCTGTGAGCCCAGATGTGTGGCTCCGTGTCCTTGCGTGTGCCTGACCCTGCCGCAGTCCGCTCTGTGCTCATTTTCTCACTGACCTGAACCCTCTTCCTCCCTGGTTCTCCCCGTCTGGTGTCGTGTGCAGAACGGCTTTGCCGTGGTCCGTCCTCCAGGACATCACGCAGAGGAGAGCACACCCATGTAAGTAGACACGCGGCCGTGGGGGGCAGGGGTGTGCCGGTTTCTGATTCAACTCTTCTCAAAGGGCTGGGCTGCATCTGAGTGAAAACATGGCCCCGAGTAACTATCGCAGCTCCAGAGCCACGCAGGTGACCTTCGCTGATCGTACCAGGAACCTGCAAGCATCAGTCCAGAGAAGTCTTCTCAGCCTCCACTTTGTTGTAAAAAATTCGGTGGAGACTTAAATTGCACCAGAACGAGTGGCGCTTCATTGTTCTAGAACATTCTGACCAAACCCCTCAGGTCATCTCACATGTGGCCTTCCAGCTGACCTGCTTATGGTTTGGTACTACTGAGGCTGACCTCTCAAGGTCATGAGCACAGGGGCAAGCTATCTGGACCCCGTCTGGGGCTCTGGCTATAGCTCTGAGTGTGCGCTCGTCTGAGGAGCTGGCCAGACAGCAAGTGTGGTATGCAGATTGCTCCAGGTGCACCGGGGAGAAGCAGTGGCAGGTGGAGACCCACCTGGGACAGGGTCACAGGGACCCGACTCTGGGCCTCACCAGCTGTGCACCAAGTACCTGGGTGCCTGGGGGTGGGCTAGACGTGGCTTCTCGTGGGACCTGGGAAACCAGTCCAGCAAGCAGGATGGGCGCTGTGGGAGGACGGGTGTCCCCTGCTGGGAGAGGTGGGAGAGGTGACGTCTGGGCTGTTCCCTGGAGAATGAGTAGCAGTGGCTCGACGGCAAAGCAAGGACCGTGCAAATGGACGGAGCCCGGCTGGGAATCCAGGAAGTGCAGGGAGGGACGCCTATTCAGGAGCAGCTAGAACGAGGCTGAGGAACCTCAGGCTGAACCCGCATTCTGAAGGAGCTTGGGCTTTGGCTCCCAGGCAGGCGGGAGCCCTCTGTCCTCTACCGGAAGGGAGGGCATCGGACCGTGGTTTGAAGAAGGAATCTCCTTCCCAGGGAGGAGGGAGTGCTGTAAGCTCCTGAGAGGGGCTTCAGGTTAGACTGGGCTGTCTTCTCCTAGAAACCCTTGGGCTCGGTGACCCCATGCCCCGGAACCCCCCATATGCTGTTAGGAACAGGATCCTATGTGTTTCCTTCCTCTGAAGGCAGTTTTCTAATTTTATCTAAGTTGTTGGATGTTCTGGAGCATGAACTCAAACGGACCGAGATGGAGCACCAAGGAGTGTGCTGGGGAAAGCTATTTGGGGCGTTTGGATGCATGTGCCCTTGCAGCTGTGGGTGCCAGCTCCGGAGGTTGTGCGTCCCGCCATGGGGGGGGCTTGCAGGTCGCTCGCCTGGGTTCCCAAAACAAAACCACCCAGATTTCCCTGTTTTTGCAGTAATTCAGGCAAAGGAAACATCAGAGTTAGATTTTCAGTTTTACTTGAATCCCATTGTTAGCGTGTTTTTGCGTTTTCTTGAAGAAGACTCTGCAGTTACTCATGGGAATGACGTGTGCATCACTGTCACACGTCTGAGAGCCTGGACAGATGAGCAGTAAGCAGGTCAAATAAGTGACCTGCCTCTGCGGAGGCTGGTCAGTGAGTGGCTGCCGAGCGATCTGGGCCAGGGCGGGTGGCGTGCCGGTACATCGTTGGGGGGACGTGGAGGGGGCCTGTCTGTCCATCAGTAGCATCGATTAAGGGAGCCTCGCCTTCACCAGACCCTCTTGAAGTCTCCCAGGACTGCAGAGGGTTCTGCCGCACTTTGTGCGCAGACTGGTGAGAGCCCGTCTTCTCCTTCTGTCTCTCCTCTCACCTGCAGGGGCTTCTGCTACTTTAACTCCGTGGCCATCGCGGCCAAGCTTCTCCAGCAGCGGCTGGACGTGAGCAAGACCCTCATAGTGGACTGGGTAAGTGGGGCCTGTTCCCTGAGAGGGGCTGGGGGTGGGGAGCAGACAGCGTCCGTGTGCAGAGAGGAGGTGGGCTTTCTGCCTCCATTGACATTGCATTTCGGGACCTTAACTTTCTGGAAACTACCCCAAATGCAGAAAATAAAAGCTCAAACCTGTCACAAGTCCACTTTACAGCCAATAGCCAGTCCTGCCAGTAGCTGGGTCTGGAAATGTCCAGAAATGTGCCTGTGGTTAAGAGCAGCAATCGAAAGATGATCCTTGGCAAGACCTCATTGAGAGGCAGGTGTGGGGGTCATGGGGGGGTGATGGCCATGACCTCACGCGTCCACCTAAGGGCGTGGGCCGCATTCTCCCACAGCTGGACATGGCGCTGTGCGTCTCAGTCCTTCCTGGTGGAAACGCCTTCCCGCTTCTGCCTGGCGACCCCTTCATGCTGGCTTAGCCTCCTTCCCATTTTCCTACAGGTGGTGTTGCTTCTCACAGCCCCACTGCCCCAGGAGGGTAAACTCTAGCTTAAAAATGCTGTGTACAGTATCTGAGCTCCAAAAACAGTCACACAGCTTCTTACACTGGGGATGGACACCAAAGGTGTTCATTTTATTCTTCTTCCCTGTTCTGTTCGGTACTTATGATTTGATGATTGCTTTAAGGGGAAAGGAAAGCAGATGCTCAGGGAGGATTATTGTATGTACTGCAGGGCCCTTCTCTGTTTGGGAAAAGAAACACCACACACAGCCCTAGCATACCCAGTAAGCTCCCAGCGCTGGGCACCGGTCACAGGGCCTTGAGATGGCTGAGACCTGGGAGCACCAGGGAAAGCTGCCCAGTGTTGGCCCTCAGCGTGCCGGCGCCTTTGTCCCAATGAGCCAGGTATCGAGTGTGGTACCATTCATGAGCACGTGACTCACAGCGCCTCTGTCCAGCACACGCGTGTGGCCGGGGCGCTTGGCGGAAGTGAGTGGTCATAGGGCTGCTCACCCCGGGCTCCCACCGCTGTGTTAAACACACATGTGTGCGCAGGGCTGCCTCAGTTACGGAAAGCACCCTTCGCGAGAGCCGTGTGTGTCCTCTCAGCCAAGGTGGCTTTCTGGTTGGTGGGATCGGGTGTCTTTTACAACCCCTTATTTATAGCTGGCCTGCCACAGTGGCTCTATTAAGCACAGATAACATTTATAAATGACAAACATACCAAGCAGTTCCCAGGGTTTAAAATCACTAACTCTCACGCAGCTCCTCACATGCGCACACTGTGTGAAGCCGGCCGCCTGTCCCCATGGCCCTTTCCGGCCCTGACCAGAGACCCGTGCGTGGCCTCAGGCCTGGTGGAAGCCCAGCTGCCCCACTTTTGTGCTTTTCACATGTGGGCACGGTGATCAGGAGCATCAGTCTGTCATTGGTGCGTGGGGCCTGGGCCCCCCGTGCTGTGTGCGCACCAGTCACTCCCAGCCCCGTGCGATGGTCTCCTGCCGCACCCCATGCTCTGTGTGCACCTGTCGCTCCCAGCCCCATGCGATGGTCTCCTGCCACACCCCGTGCTGTGTGCGCACCTGTCGCTCCCAGCGCCGTGCGATGGTCTCCCGCTGCACCCCGTGCTCTGTGCGCACCTGTCGCTCCCAGCCCCGTGAGATGGTCTCCCGCCGCACCCCGTGCTGTGTGCGCACCTGTCACTCCCAGCCCCGTGCGATGGTCTCCCGCCGCACC